TGAGTGTGTATTTCATCTGCTACTAATAGCATTTACACAAAAACAGAATAATTCAGAAAATTATTCTAGGCATAAAATGCAGTACAGACACAGTTGACAGAAATAGTTTCTAGTAAGTGTATTATTAATCCAGGCTTTTTTATGTGGGTGGAAGCTTGTAAAGATTGAGTCATAAGAATTGTATTTTCAGAAAGTTTTGGAATGTGGGTAAAAGAATGACAGAAGGGGAATGACTTCTTCACTCCTCTTCTAGTTTGTGTAGAGTTAATTGGTCCTTCTGCCAAGAATGCTTACCACTTCGACCCATAGGAATTTTAACCTTCCCTTGAGATTTGTTTTGTACGTTAGCTACTTCAAGGTTTCCTGATATGCTCTGTCCAAGTCACCCCCCACTCCTTATACCTACCCCCAAATCATAACAAGCATAACTGCTCCATTGTTGTGCCTTCAGAGATTTTTCTATAGGTCTTTATAACATTTATCAAATTATATTATGCTATTTACCTTTCTGTCATCTCCACCTTGATGGCTTGGAGATGACTTATTCATCCTAAAATAGAGCTCAGCAAATGTTTGTTGAATAAATGTGTTTACTAGGTACATACTATGCCATTTGTTTATTTAGGGGGATCCACAGATGAATGAGAATCATCTTTCTCTTCAAGGAAAATGGATGGGAGAGATTTATATATGTATAAATCCTACTTCCAGTTTCTAAGACTTGCTTGGCTTAATGTAAACTAATTTACTGTATACTTATATGTACCTATCTGGATTAAAAAAATCACTAAAGCTCTGTTTCTTTTAATGGGAATGAGGAAGGTTTCTAGTTTTTATTTAAATGACGTTTGAAAAATTTTACAAGTTTCTGTGATGCTATTGTAATGGCAGAGCTTAATTCTGTTCATAACATTGTTTTCTTCCTTTGTCTATGGCACCTTAGTGTTTTTTGACTTTGTTGACCAGTTTTTCTTCATTTTTTTCTATTAATGGGCATCTCCTGAAGTCTTACTATATGCTACATCCAGTGCTAATTTTGTGGAAGGTGCAGAGATTTGACCCACAGGTCCCTGCCCTGAAGAGTGTGCAGCTGGATGGGGAGGCAGCTATGTGCTCCAGTTGAAGGATAAAGTGTGTTTCTTTCTTTTGATGCTTTTCTAAGCAAGGAGACAGTTACTTGGTTACTAGAGTTCAAAGAGACTTAGCCACCACACCCTAACTTTGGGTAAAATGTTTGGGCAGAGGGAAAAGGCTACAGGACCACTGAGCTCTGGATGGGAATGCAGGAGAATGATGCGGTTGGCTTAATGGCAAGAAGATCAGCCTGAGGTTGAGGTGAGTGAAAGTGGACATAGGGAAAAAGTTTGAGAAGTGGGAGGATAAAAGTCCAGAGTCCAGTGGTTTGTCTTAAATGTGCCAACAGGGAAAGGTAGTGAAATGAGTTCATGCTGTTTATCCTCAGTACTGTTTATACTGTTTACTTTAGAATAGATTAGAGAAGGAGGAAAGATCCAGGCTCTGAACTTGGCTTGGCTGTGAAATGTTTTCTGTAATTCCCAGTCTGGTTACTGATTTACAAACGTAGCTGGATGTGTGACTGTTTTCCAGCTTGCATTAGAGTGGTGATACGGAGACTACAGAGGCAGATCTTGAAAGGAACTAGAGTGGATGCAGAAGAAATTGTGGATTGAGCAAATAATATTTTGGTATAAATGAGATTCTATATTTGGAAGTTCTTAGTAAACTCTGGAGTGCTAAATCAGTGTATTGACAATACAATTCTGTGTGTGTATGAGTGTGTATACTTCCTTGTAGTTAGTGAAGATGTTCTAGGTTCTTTTCTAGCTCAGTCTCTACTTATATTTTGTGGATACCAATTCAGCCTCTACTGTAGGAAGATGCAGGGTCAAATCACAATGACTGAATGCACTTCAGTCTTGCTGTTTAAATATTAAGAAATCACTGAGAAGAGTCATTGTTGAGGTAATCAGTAATTCATAAATTCCTTGTGCCTGTTATGATATGTGAAACACATCTTCATGTTTATGGTTTAGCAGTGTATGCTGTTGATGGAATAAAAGATATGGATTTAAAAAATTTTTATATTTAGTTATGGAGTTTAAATATTCTATATATAAACCGTTACAAAAAGCACAGAAAACATAGAAGCCCAGGAACTTACCACCCAAATTTAATAGGTGTTAATATTTTGCCTTATTTGCTTCAGTCTTCTTTAGTTTGTTTGTAAAGCCATAGAAAGAACAGCATATTTAGCAAAGGCGCTCTTGCCTGTTTGCTTCTCTCTCTAGAGGTAACCACTACTCTAAATTCACTTGTGTTAGTGCCATTTATTAAAAATATGTTTATTTACTACAGGTATATGTATCCATAAACATTATGTTTTTAATGTACTAAAATAAAAAAATATAAAATTATTACAGTTCTTCACATGGTTATCCACATGGAAAACTGCAATAATTTTATAATTTTTATTTTAGTGAGCACATTAAAAACATTAAACATATTGTTTTGGCATAACTTTCTGCCCTAATAACATAAATTGAAGTGGCTTTTAGACTTTTTTGACCATAATCTACAGAATGATACATCTTTTACATGACCTAATACATACCATATACACGTTTGTGTGTGTATGTAAAACTGAAAAAATTTCTCCAAACTGTGATTTTCTGTACTATGTGTGATATATACTGTATTTTCTAGCTGATTCATTCTTAAATGCTTGTCCCAGATTTAATAAATTGATTTTATGACCTAATGATAGACTACCACTCATGATTTGAAAAACATTAATCTTAAATTAATCTAAAAAATTAATCTAATCTTAATTAATCTAAAATTAATACTGATTTTAATATACAAATATAAGGCTTTGTAGTATAATAAAAGTGCTTCAGGGGCTGGTCCGGTGGTACAAGCAGTTAAGTGCGCGCCCTCCGCTGCGGCGGCCTGGGGTTCCCCGGTTCGGATCCCGGGCACGCACCGACGCACTGCTTGTCAAGCCATGCTATGGCAGCGTCCCATATAAAGTGGAGGAAGATGGGCACGGATGTTAGCCCAGGGCCAGTCTTCCTCAGCAAAAAAAGAGGAGGATTGGCAGATGTTAGCACAGGGCTGATCTCCTCACCAAAAAAAAAAAAAAGTGCTTCAGATAATAAGGCAGTGTATTAAAATAGCATTCTTTTGCACAAGATTTGATTACATTCATCTTGGCTAATTCATTCTGAATATTTGTTTTCTGTGAACGGATTTAAATCCATACATGTCTTAGCCATTTAAGTAATTAATATTGGTTAGCTAAGTGTTTTAGTGGATGCATGTGATGGATATGAAGCTCTTTTTAATGGAAAAGCTTTTATTAAGTTTCTTTTGAGGTTTATTATTAACAAGCCAATATAGAATATCTCCTTTTAGTTTATTCTGACTGTGATTTACCTGGAGTCCAGGAGGGCTGTCTTGGTGTCATGGTGTCAGGAAAGGAAAGCACTCTTGCTGGCTCAGAAACTGACTCCCAGCTCTGTCGCCAAGAAACTATATATAGCCTTAATAAGTCCTTTCTTCCTTCTGGCCCTCGTTTTCCTCACCTTTTAAGAAAGGGGGTTAACTAGCTCATCACTTTCATTCTGTGAAATGTAGGGTTCCTTGAACCTGAGCCTCAAGTTATTTCTGAGAATATATCTGATTCAAAAGAACAGGACTTTCTATTGGAATTACTGGTTTTGCAGTTGCATTTGAGCAAGGCATGAGCAGGTCTTGTTCAGTTTATTATGGTTCTTGGGCAGGAACGATTCCCTCTATCATAAAACCGTTTCAGGGTAATCTTGACGTCTCTGAGATCTGCCTGCTTTTTTGTTGTATTCTCTCTCGGTGAGGGACAGGCTATGTGAATGGATATGAGAACATACATAAGTGCTAAAAATGGCCAGGGAGTGTTTCTTCATTCTGTTTCAGTTAAATGTCCTCACAGGCAAATCCAATGCTGCAGAAAGAAGTGTGTCACCTCTGGTGAGCCCAGGGGACGATTATATTAGTCCTACACATTGCAGTAGTCTGAGGCTTTGGGAAATTTTCCCCTTTAGTGTGAGTTACATGTTTGAAATCGAGTGAGGACATACCACCTAAACTACCCATCCTTAAAACAAACAAACGAAACAGCACTTTTCATCATAAGAGTTGTTTGCGTATATGTTTGTCTTAAGAAGCAGGAGTTTAAATTGCAGTTTAGGGTAGAATGGATCTTGGAGACCATCTCTTCCCATTTGCTTTCTGAGAAAATAGGCCAACAAATGCTCTTGCTTGGATCTCCAGATGGAGGCAAAGTTAGGGGCAGATTTCTGGTGTCTTCCAAGGTTCCCATTGTGTTTTGCTTTGCAGATTCTTTTTAGGCAGGTCTACATTTAGAGACATGTCTGAGGGTGTGGACCCGTTAAGGAATGTGATTATCCTTAAAGTAGAGATCTGCTCATACCTGAGAGACTAATGAAGGTGTGTTTTTCCTTAAGGACACCAGGATAGACGTAAGTCTCTGGGAAAGCATCCTCTGAACCCTGATGACTGAGGCATAGGCTAGATTTCAACCCCTCTGACCACGGAGGACTCAGCTTTGTCTCAGCTGTAGTATGCAAAACATTCTTCTCTCTTTTATTATTGCGACAGTACTTGCCCTCCCTTTATGGAAGTGGATTGAGATTTCTGGACCTCTGGGTTCTAATTCCGTGGTTAACATCTTTAGGCCAAGGACCAGAGCTAAAGCTAACTATTGGTTTGTGACACTGTGCTTGGCACTGAGCAGGTACTATGTGGATTTTTGTGAATGAAAACTTTATACTAGCTAGTCACTATTTCGTGTCTTGCGAATTATAAAGTTGATCTTCCTAAAATACTACAATTGATTTTTTGAAGTAAACAAAATCCTTTTCTTTTCATGATAAAATACTACTAATGAGCCTTCATGTCTGCTCTTCCCCTCTCCTCTGCAGTGTGCCGAGATTTTGCCGTGCTAGAGGACCACACCCTGGCCCACAGCCTGCAGGAACAAGAGAGTGAGTAATGGCCCTCGTTCATGCTCCTTCGGTTTTCTTTTTTATTGGTAGCTTGAGGCAAGTTTCTTAGGGTGAGGCAGGAAGAGAACACAGTCACTGGGCTACACCGTCCATCCATCCTGAGGGATTTGTCTAGGCAAATGATGGCTGGGTGAAGAATGAAGGTCTGGGTATTTTGAAGTAAGGCAGCGGCCAGGGATTAGAATACTGTTGGGTGTGTGGGAGGAAAAGAGGAACTTGAACCTTTTTCCCTGCTTTAGCGGTGTAGGAGGAAGACACTGGTTACACATATATCTGGGGTATGTAGAAAGCTGGCATAGGGAACTGTTCCTTCCCCTAGAATAGGGCCTGAACAACTTTTTCCAGGCAATGGTGGTATCTAGATTGTGGATTTTTCTGAATATTTATATATGTAATTATGCAAAGTAAATCTAAGTTATATGTATTAGACAAAAGTGCATATTTGTGAATATGTAATTTGTGAATCATTGATTCATATGTCAATGTAAAAATTAAGTATTGAAAAATGTAGTTTATAAATTGAGTGGCAACTTGTAGGGCCGAAAGAGCACTGGCCTTGGCTTTAGAACATTTGTATAGAAGTCCTGGCACTGCCACTGTTTTGCTATATGCAAATGCAATTTATTTAACCTTTCTGGTCCTCTTGTTACTTAATGGAAAGATGAGAATAATAATTCCCGTGCTGCCTATTATGCAGCATTTATTGAGAGCATAAAATGAAGTGATGGGTATGAAGCTCTTTTTAATGGAAAAGCTTTTATTAAGTTTCTTTTGAGGTTTATTATTAACAAGGCAAAACATTGTAATTCCTCTCCTCAATCTTTCTGTCCAGTCGAGCATCATTTGGCATCGAACGTTCAGCGGAACCGTTTGGTCCAGCATGATCTCCAGGTGGCTAAGCAGCTCCAAGAGGAGGATCTGAAAGCCCAGGCTCAGCTCCAGAAGCGCTACAAAGACCTGTGAGGATTTGGGGAGTGGGAGGGAGTCGTGCCAGGACTGGTTTTCTCTGGAGCCAGCAGCTGGGGCAGGGAAGAAAGAGACTCTCCGTCTGTCCTTCTGATTCCTTTCACTATTAGATTACAAATCCTGTCGTGGCTATCCCATAGTTTTCTTTGATTTGAAAAATTTTCTTTGATGTTGGAACACTTGACTAGGTTTTGGGATATGTGGATTCTCGTGTGAGCTTCAACACTTATCTGTATGACTTTGAGTCATTTGGTCCACTTCTCTGAGTCTATTTTCCTTACCTGTAACATGGGGAAAATAATCTCTGTCCCCTTTGCTCATAGGTTGTTTGGGGGATCCAGTGAAATATGGGATATCAAAGAACTTTATGAGTTACATTGGGTTCCTCTACTGTTTCCTAGCTGTGTTTGCTGCTCTTGTTTTCCTTGAACCCCTTGCTTTTCAGGTAGAGGCAGAATCTTCTCAAAAGCTCTGAATAGTACACTCAGTTCTTTTCATAACTTTAGTGTCTGACAGAAATTCTGTCTTGGTTACCTCCTTTCATAGTTAGATAAATGGAAAGATCATATCTAAGGTCTCTTCCAGCACAATGACTTTTTATTCTTTTTCCATGTTTTAGAGCTCACAGGAGAGTGGCTCTTATACCTAAATCTCTAATGGTGGATTTAACCACAAGATATTGTTTTGAGGAGGAAAAGTTAAAGGAAGAAATGAAGGGACTCCTCATTTTACTTTAGTTGTCATGTTCAAATGTACAGGAAAGGCTGTTGTTTTTGTTGCCTTTGAGGAAGGGTTTGTCTTTCTGCTTTATTATTGGTAGGAAGGACTTTATTCATCATTTTGTTTAGCTTCCTTATTTTGTATGTAAACACTCTTATTGTTTCTTGCTAAACCTGACACCATGAAAGGCAATGGAGACCACAGATATGAATTAGATATAGCCATTGCCTTTAAGGGCCTCAGGAAAAAAACTCTGAGCATTCTATATCTAGAGATCCATGCACAAGCACGGAGAATTTAATGATAAATTTCATGCCTATGAAAGAGAAGAGACTGGGAAACCAACACAGGTGATATATTTAATCTGAACATTGATGGTTAAATAGGAATTTATAGTGACAATTGGAGAAAACCATTCTAGCCCCAGGGAGTAGCGTGCATAAAGGTCAGAAGTAAAAATACCTGGAATCTCATGGTAGCTGCAAGGTGTTCAGTATTGATGGAGTGGAGAGTACGGTTAGGGGCATAGGTCAGAGATGAGGTCAGCAAAGTAGTCAAAAGCTGTACCAAAAGGTCATATAAGTTATGTTGAGAAATTTAGGTTTTATAGATTTTATATTATAAACAATGGAGAACCATTGAAGGATTTTAGATTTTCATTTTGGGACCTACTCTGGGTGCTGGGTAAGTAAAGGATTGGAGGGGGCAAGATTGAAGGCAGCTATTGAGCAGTCGTCAGATTAAGAAATGATGAGATTTCAATTGAGGACAATGGATGAGAGAGAGAGAGGGAGGAGGGAGATGATGAGGCCTGAATTGAGGGTAATGTTAATGGAGTTATAGAGAGGAACAGAGAGATTTGAGGTATATGGAGGCTCAGTGTCACACAGTTGAGATGAGAGTCAGAGCTAGAATATTCTAGAGTTCTAAATTACTGCCTTTTAATTATTCACAGTGCTGTGTTATGAAGGCCAGTTCTGAGACTGGTGCAGAAGTTTAAGATCCTGAATTAGGGTAATGATAGTATCATGCGGTTATTCACAGATTGTCAAGACAAAGCACTGTAAAATATAAACCCAGATTTGGAAAGTGATAGATTATAGATCCTAAATGAGAGCAGAACCAGGTATTATATTTCTGCCTAGGACTTCAGGGTTTTGGAGGTGTTCCTGGCTGAAATAAGTAAGCTAGAAAGGAAGTTTTTCAGTTTTCATACCCTGACCATCTTGATAGCTGAACCTCATGGGAAGGATGAAGTGCTGTAGGTTTTAATGAAATGGAACCTTTCACTCAGTCTGGAGCCTGGGGCCCCTGTCCAGTCAGCCTTACTGATCGTTAACTGCTCCTTTCTCACTAGATTTTGCTTCCTGAGAATTCTATATAATTAGCTGAATGAGCTAGAACTGATTCTTCTTGGAAATATGGTTTGAAATAATTAAGCTCAACTTAAACTTCACCTCTTTATTTTCTGTGCTAGGAGATACATCTTCTGTGTCACTTCTGGCCTTTAACGTTTCATTTGGATTTGCCTTCTCTGCTCTGCTTCTGCTTTCTTCCCATCTGTTATCACCCTGCATGTAGTTAGTTGTTGCTTACTCCTGAATGGATTTTACATTAATTTGGGTGGTCCTGGTGGAGAAGTCTGAAAACTAAGACCATCATTTTGTGTATGATTCTTAACTATAAGAAGTGAGTGAATGAAAAGAGGATACATTTGTTCTGAGTAGATTTTTATTTTCAGTTCTTTGGATTAGTTGATTAAGAGTCCTAAAATATTAGACCTGTAATACGAAATCATTAAGTCCAAAAACTTTTATGGCCGATAAGATGACATGAGAGGGCATGATTCACTGGTTGTCAGTGGCAGGACCAGAAATCAGGTCTGCAGACATCTTCTTTTTTTTTTTTTTTTTTTTTTTTTTTTAAAGTTTTTTTTTTTTTTTTTTTTTCCCCCCAAAGCCCCAGTAGATAGTTGTGTGTCACAGCTGCACATCCTTCTAGTTGCTGTATGTGGGACGCGGCCTCAGCATGGCCGGAGAAGCAGTGCGTCGGTGCGAGCCCGGGATCCGAACCCGGGTCGCCAGCAGTGGAGCGCGCTCACTTAACCACCAAGCCACGGGGCCGGCCCCTGCAGACATCTTCTTGTCCAGTGATTTTCCTACTGATTCTAAGAAAGTCTTGCCATTTCTGGCCCGTGCTCTCTGTCTTACATTCTCGTCCTCCCTTTCTGTCTTGTGTGTGCGCACACACATACATAAACACCTGCGTGTCTGCACACACATCTGCTTTCACCTACATATACCTATTTCCAAACCATTGGAAAGTGACCATTTCCTTACATAAATGAGAATAGTTTTCATCCCCTCAGTTTTGTTAGTATAGAATAAGGGGGCTTCAATTCCTCCAGAGAAGTTTGGATGTCCCGCCCCACCCTGCCCCCCACAATACTTTTCAATTACAGAAGACTGCCATTAAATCTGAAATATACAACCAAGACTGAGACTCATTGAGTACTTTAAGTTCAGTTGGCAGGGGGAGAATGAGAGGATATATCTGTTTAGCAAACGAACTGTGTATATAAATCACAGTTATAATTTTATCCCAGCATCTTTTTAGATAGTAAACTCCAAGCATGTTTATGTCTGTCTTTCCTAGCTAACAGTTTTGTGTAAAGGTTGGCTCCCCAGAGCTCTTGCATTCTGGAATTTTAAAGTGCCCATTAACTCTACTTAAAAACTGAAAACAGAAGACTTGTGCACCTAGGGGTATATTTTGTAGCATCTCTGAGAGATCCGAACCCCCTTTTCTGTTGGAACTGCTGTTTTAAAGGTGCTGTTTTTAAAGGATCTGTTTCTTCCGCCAAGGTGATTTCTCTTGTTTCTCCCACCAAAATGTGTTGCGAGCTTCTGAGTGCAGGATGCAGATTTCTTCATTTTTGTATCCTCCATAGTGAGCATAGTGCCTGGACCATAGCAGGTGTGGTGTAAGTCTTTGTTGAATGCGTGAATGCTAAAACAAAACAAAACTATGGTAACAGCAGTATTACAACATTTGATTTTCTTAGTGGCCAGAGTATTAAGGAAACTGGCATCAGCCACAGAGGTTCTGTTGGAAACCAATGCTGGGGAATACAGTTTTTTTTTTGCTTTTTTTTAAGTATAATTTTTTTAAGTATTCATTCTTGAAACTGAAAAAAAGAATACGTCTAATAAAATATTTATAAAAATCATTTTAAAGTCATACCACCACCTCTAGGTGACTGCAGTATTACTGACGTTTTAGTGAACTCACTCCTAAATTTTTCCTGTGCACTTTATACATAATTGGATATTTGTGGACATTAATCTCACAGTCTACATCTCCTTTGCAGAATCTTGGGGAAACATGCCTGTCTCTGTAGAGTGGCGCCAATAGGGTGAGGTGATATGGTGGTATAGAGAAAGCATAGAGCTTTCCATTATGGTGTCTGGGGATCAGATTCTGGTTCTACCGCTCGTTTTCTCTGTGATCTGAGGGAAATGATGTCACTACGCTGGGCCTCAGTTTTTTCATCATAAGGTGTGACAGTATCAACCTTGTTGCATCGTTATTGTGGGGATTAAGTGAGATAAAAATACGCACTGGCTCACAGTGAGGATTCAGTAAATTGCGTTATTTTTAGGAAGAATCATTTATTTTCTTTATTCATGTTGTTTTCACCTTTGTTTTTTAGTGAACAACAGGACTGTGAAATTGCCCAGGAAATCCAGGAGAAACTGGCTATTGAGGCAGAGAGACGACGCATTCAGGAGAAGAAAGATGAGGTACGACTTAGTTAATGCCCCTCCACCCCATGGAGGAAGGGCTGCTCAGCTCTGGAGTAGTTACTTTCTGTATTCTTTGGCTCAGTGTAGGGTTGCTGAATGGGCAGCAGAACTCTCTTTTGGGGTGCATAGACCAAGGATTGCCTTCCATGGACCACTGTTTATTGCCCCTTGAGCAGTTGCATAAGTGGTGAAGTCTTAAAGATGATGATGGGTAATTTGACATAAGGTGTGAATTAGTTTCCTAGGGCCACTATAACACCTTACCACAAACTTGGTGGCTTAAAACAACAGAAATTTATTCTCTCACGGTTCTGGAGGCTAGAAATCTGAAATCAGGGTGTTGGCAGGGCCATGCTGCCTATTGGGAAAGATCCTTCTTTGCTTCTTCCTAGCTTCTGGTGGCTGCTGACAATCATTGGTATTCCTTGGCTTGTAGCTGTATCACTTTAGTCTCTACCTCCATTGTCACATGGACTTCTTCCCTATATCTTTGTGTCCTCTTGTTTTCTTATAAGGACACCAGTCATTGGATTGAGGACCCACTCTAATCCAGTATGATCTCTTCTTAACTAATTACATCTGCAAAGACCCTATTTCCAAGTAAGGTCGTCTTCCGAGGTTCTTGGTGGAAATGAATTTTTAGGGGACGCTATTCACCCCAATACAGGGTGTTCTGTCTATGGGTTATTCCTGCAACTTCAGAGAGAGCAGACCTTGAGTGTAGCCAGAGCAGGAGTGAGGGAGTAGTCATTGTGAGGCCAGGAGCCATCATTGCTCTCTCACTCTTTTTTTGTTAATGGTTTTACTCTCCTATGATATATTGCCTCAAGGAACTAATCTGTTTGAGTCTGTATATATTTTTAAATTATGTTATTTTTAAAGCTGAAAATGACTAAAATTAGCAGTAGTATCTGGTTTGTAAGAAGACTTGAATTTGCAGTCAACTATTACTTGCTTTTGTGTTGTTTTCAGCATTTCTTATCAACAGTTTCTTTTCAGTTTGCGTTGATTTTGTGTCTGCTTTTTTTCACACCTGTTGTGCTGTTCTTGGCCACTGTCTTGATTTATAATGAAGACAAAAATGATTTATCATTTGTAATAGTAGGTTGAGCATATGATTTATTGTATACTCAGAGACATTTTTCAGGGTTAAAGGGGGCACTTTTAATAATTACACAGACTGATACTGTCCTGGGCAAAGTGGCATATATGATCACCCCATTAAATAGATATGATCAGGGTCATCAGTAAACTAGCCTACATATACTGCTGTGTAGGCTGAGCCGTGCTTGTTCCTATAGGACTCCTTGTTCGTTGCCAGCTGGGTGTGAGACACCTGGTATGAGTGTATTTAGCTCTTTCTTTAAGCAACAAATCATGATTATGTCATAATCAGAACTGCGAGTAAGAATTAGGGATTATTTTCTATCCTTCCTGTTATCAACACAGGAGCTCTTTCTTATGACAGGATGTGTTGCCTCTTTATAGTCATGATTTGGCTTTGGGGATGAAACTGAGGACTGAAAGAAGTGATTATATTTTGTAGACAGGAAAACTTCTATTTTAAAAATAACAGAGTAACGAAGTTGGCTTCTTATAAATGCAACTGGTGTCCTCTGATTTTTTTCCCCCATTCAGAGAAAAACAGGATAGAAAGAGAAATCAAAACACTTTATTTTAGGCATGTAGAATCCAGATAGCAATCACAATGAATAATCTCATGGTAACACTGTATGAAGTAAGCAGTGTAGTGATTAATTCCATTTTTCAGATGAAGAAATTAAGTCGTGAAAAAGTAAGTGACTGATTGCAAGCTATAATGAGATACCAGAGAAATGTCTGTACAGTTCAGGTCCCCTGACTGCTTCTGCTTTAGATATACTGTGACAATATAAAACACGTAGACTTTGGAGTTAGACTGCCCTGGGTTTGAATCTTAGCTCTTTAACTTTTAGCTGTTACTTTCAGCATCTCACTTTACCACATAGAACTCAGGTTCCAAATTGGAGAAGTCATGATAATTGTATATATCCTAAAGGGCTGTTGTGAGGTTTAAATGTGATCATGTGTATAATGCCTCTGGTACATATTAAGTTAATAATTGCTCTTTCCTTTTTGCTTTCTTGCCGAGTGTTTTCCCCACCCTTCTGCCTTGATAACAACTCTGATTTTTCCTATAGAGAGAGAGGTGCTAAATTAGAAAGGGGGAAAAATAAACAGACTTAAGTGTATTCCAGCACAGTGTGATCTGAGGGATCTTCAGGAGTTTACTTGCCTTTCCAGGCCTCCACTACCTTGCCCTCCACTACTGTTTGACCTACTGAAATATTCCCCCTTCCGCAGTACAGTGGAGAGATTAGATGAGAAATCCAGTTGTAGAGATTTAGTGAGACTAGCCTTTAAAAACTCTATTCAGACTTTTTGACTTCTCAACTGATGGCTTAGTTGAGAAGATGGCTGCTGTGCCAAGATGTTCTTTTATCGTAGAAAAATGTGACTCTCAGCTGACTGGTATGTTATTAATATTAAATGAACAAAATTTGCATTGGTATTTGTCTTTGAAGGATGTATGATAATGCTTATTTGTTTATTTTAGTCCAGGGTGCCTCATAGAGGAGACTGAAACTGAGACAAGAATGCTGATTTTTCTGGCCGACTCGTGAAAAAGCATTGCCTGTTACTCATGAGCTGTCCTAATTCTTTTTTATGTTTTTTTCTCTATGCTCTTTTACTTCCCTGTGGAGTCTAATAAGTTCTTATTCAGCAGCAGGACTGTGGAAAATTCCTCTTTGGATTATTCCCCCAGATCTCTTAGAGATTTTTGGGGTCACCTCTCTTGGGTAGTTTATAACCCCCCAAAACAACCAGATGTAGAATCCAAGGCCTCTTTCCTGTTGGCACAGAGATTTTTTTCTGAAAAACATTGTATGTGAGAAGTAGAGTTATACAACTTTGTGAGGGTGAAGTAACATTTCTAGCTTTGTTATGGTATAATTTTATTGTGTTTTGTTCAGAGCACAGATGTAAGGAAAGTAACATTTTCATGCAAGGAGAGAGATGTAGAAAAGTTAAAAAAGAAAGAAAGAAAGAAAAAAGATCTTTTGTATTCTTACCAGCATTGTGGCTTCCCCCTCCTTCCCGCTTCCCCCCCACTGCCCTCCCTCTTTTTCTTTCTCCCTCCCTCTCTTCCTTTTTTTAAAAACTCTTTTTTTTTTTTTGTGAGGAAGTTTAGCCCTGAGCTAACATCTGATGCCAGTCCTCCTCTTTTTTGCTGAGGAAGATTGGCCCTGGGCTAACATCGGTACCCATCTTCCTCTACTTTATATGGGACGCCGCCACAGCATGGCTTGATGAGTCGTGCGTAGGTCCGTGCCCGGGATCCAAACCTGCGAACCCCAGGCCCCCGAAGCAGAGCTTGAGAACTTAACCACTATGCCACCGGGCTGGCCCCCAAAAACTCTTTTACACAGTGTCTTAAATATAGTAGTTGCATTTCTCTCTAGGAGGCCTGTTGAAGGTGCTTGTAGCCTTTGGGAATACTGGACTGAAGGAGTTTGTAATTAAGAAAAGTGGGCTAATTCCACTGGGATCTTTCTCTTTGGTCACAGCATAAGCATTTGTCACTGTTGTTTAATAAAGCAAGTTTAATTGATTTAACTTAGTTATTTTTAAACAGAACTCTTAAGTGTGTGTTGTGTGTGTGTGTGTATGTGTGTGTGAATATGTGTCTTTGAACCTAGGTCCAAATATATGTGTATGTGCAGTTATTTTAGGGAAAAACATGTTTTTTTGCTTAAGTAAACATTAGCATGGCCAACCATGTTATGAAAAGTCTGTGGCACTAGTCCAACAATTTGAGGCCATTTATAATATGAACTGTTCAGGGATAAACTTAGTAATCAGTTTAAGTTAAAAGTTTAGCAATCTAATGGAATAGTTTTCCTTTTTTTCTTCTTTCTGATAGTTCTTTGACAATCACATTTTCAGATCTCCTTTTGTTTTTCTGTCCTAAAGATTTCCTCATTTTGAAACCCACTATCATTGTAGGTTAGAGGTGAAAACTTTCAGGCAGAAGTCCATGGTTCAGTGATTTGTCATTGACTTGAGAAAGATGGGCCAGCTCCACTGCAGCTGGTTTGCGTGAATGCCTCTCTTAGAGCCCTCACCTCTGCATGTCATACGTTGTGCTAGTCATTTTGCTTCTAACACTTAATAGATAAGAACTTTGAGGACACAGACCATATATCTTGTTTCTGTACAGGTCTCTAGCAGAATGTTTGGCCCATTGAAGGGAATCAGTAAATCTGTGTTTTCATTAAAATGACTTTCCTCTAGCATTCTAGAGATCTTTAACTGTGTCCTTTCTTATGCTCACAGTTTCAAATTTCCCAGAGTTGAGTGAGCTTGGATAATAGAAAAGGGAGAGATAAAATATAATCATAAATTCTCATTCCGATAAACATATTTACTAGAGAATCTTCTATGTAACAGTTATTTCTACATATTAGCCCAAAATAAGCCTACCTGATTAATATGATTCGTTAAAAAATAATTGAAAATGACTTCAGAAGGGCTCATAAATTCTTTTAGATTTGTTTTCCCAAGTTATGTTTTGTGGAACACTAATTCCATAAGGTTTGAATTTTTAATATAAAAAAAGGCTTCTGTCTCAAATTTGGCAATCCTGGGTTATGGGAAGACAACAGGTTTCTTTTCTGTTATCAAAGTTATAAAATCTGCTAATGTGTATTTTAAAGAGTTAGATATAATACATGCTTTCCGTTGAATACTTTGTGTTTTTTGGAGACTCTTTTGAGATCGCTGTTCTCAGGAACAAAGCTTGGACGCTGCTGTGCGAGACTAACCTTTAACGGGAAAAGCTGAGGAGCAAGGAGGTTGTTTATGTCAGGGGTGACTGAGCTGCATCCAAGCATGTGGCTAACAATGGCTGTCTTGAGCTTGTTTCAGGGGAGATTCCTTATACTGAAATCACCTCACTGAAGTCATTGCACAGTAATGTTGGGAAGCAGGGGGAAGAACTGACTTGGGCTAAACCACAGTTATAGTAGAGCAGCAGTTGTTCGTTGAATCCTTTATCCTTGCCCTCCCCAAATCTAGCCAGCTTTTCTTCTCACCCGGTTGAAGCTTACTCATAAAAGTGCTGCGAGCTTATAAGAGCAAAAGGTTTGGGTGCTAAATTGCATGACACATTATGATTATTATTTTTCTGCTTGATTAAAAGCACCTCCTTTGACTAGCTAATACATGGTAAAGAAGGGGCATCATCCTTGTTTCTCTCTTGGTTCTTCACACTGAGAAAACAGCTTATTACTATGTATTCATTAGGACTAGATTCAATAGCAGGAAAGCAATTATAAGGTCCCTGAAGTATAGTTTAATAATTTCTGCTGGCAGTTGGACCTGGTAATTTTCCCTTGTATTTTTACTCAGCGTGATAGCAAGGGAAATTTTTTTGTATTCTGTAAAACAAACCACTTAGGTTTGGTAGTGTTGGGTGCCTAGTAAACATGACAACTCAGGGAAGTTTTGATTTTCTTCCTACTTCAGCTCTAAAAAGTATAGGGATTTGGTAAACTCTACTATAACAGATACTAGTTTTGGGAGAACAAGTTATCTGTCCCACCTCTTTCTGTCTAACTAACTGATTGATATATTACTTTGTAAGACATCAGATGTCATGAACCTGACACAGGGACTGGCACCTGGTAACACAAACAGACTTATCAAAATATGATGCATTAGGGAGTCAAGACATCTGACTTCAAGAGTAAGTAGTTCAAACTCTTCATTGTACAGATAAAGAATTGAAGCCCCAAGAAATTCATTTTAGTAGTTAATATTTCTCCCACTGTCTCTAAAACATCTCTGGTTTGAACTGGAAGGGAAAAAAATCATCTTAACTTGGAGATTTAGGGAATATTTTCCATCAAAATATTAGAAATTCAAATTTCTTTGCATGAAAATTATACTTGTGTTAAGTAGGATTGTGTTCTTTACCTCTCATTCTGAGATGCAACATTTTGTGAGTGCCCACTGAATTATGTGACACTATAGCATGGGCTTTTACATAGATTATTTATCAAATGTATACATATATTTCTTTCACACAGTTTGCTGAGAAGCTTCCAGCATAGAATTCAGTTAAAGGCAATATGTTAATAGTATAATGAATTTAGGCATTTATTTAACATAAAGTCAGATTTGTAAGGCTATCTTGATGAAGATTAAAAGCCGAGTATATGGATAATTATGGCTAATTTACCTAGCCTCAGCATCAGGCTTGTTTCTACACTGACATGCAAGAAATTGATTCATTCAGATGAATTTTTTTTAAGTTTGCCTTGCAGTCTTAGTATATTCTTCATTTTGATTTATTCAGAAAATTGCAAAAGGAAGAATAGTAATTAGTTCTCGCTTCTAAGCACTTACTGTATTCCTTATTATAAATATGAAGAAGGTGCCTCAGACCACCTATGATTGTTGTTACCATTTGCACCGGTGAGTATTGTTGCCATATTTGTATGATCTCTAAGAATCTGGTGATAGGTAGGGGCGTTCTCTCCAAAAAAGTGTGTGTGAACAAAGTTTGTGTGCTATTTTATGGGGCTTTCATAAAAATAATCTTCAGTTTCAGAACACTGTCACTCTCCAGCTCATGTTAGTAACCCTTCATCCCTTATGTTGTGGACTCTAGACCTCTTAAGATTGTCTTTAAGGAATGCCTGTGATCCAGCCTATGACTATTTTTCTAGCCTCACCTTTCTCTGCAACACCCCACATCCTCCGTTCGAATTAGTATATTGGTTGTTTCTTAGATTGATGCCCATTAAAACGTTCATAACTTGGCTGATGTTGTTCATTCTCCTTACTTTGCCTATTGGAATCCGGTTCTTTGTTCAAAACCCGAAACAAATGCAAAACCTTGCACTAATTCATTTAAGCAGAAATAGTATTCCCTCTTTTGTACTCGCATAGACATTTTTCCCCTATTTTTAAGGCATTTATAATTTATTTGTAGTATAGTTATTTGTGTACACCTTTGTTTTCATAGGGGAGCATTTTGGGGAACAGGGTCAGAATGTTATTCATCACTCAGGAACTGCTAAAAACTTGCCTGGAGATGAAGCAGGGGGTACACAGCGGGAAGACTTTTTTTAGTTGACAGTGGTACTTTCATGCAAAGCTAAATCAGAATCAGCTGAAGAATTCTTTTAAAAAGTTTTAAAATTATAAATATAATTTACAAAGTTGCATAGATTACTGCACTCTTTCCCATCCAGACTTACTGAATAGATCTTGGAAAAAGGGCCCACAAATAGTATTTTAAAAATTCTGTTGTATAACCAGCTTTAGGAGTACTAGGTTTGAATGTCTTCATATTGGGTTAGATTTAAATTTCAGTGAGAAAAAAAGCCTTTCTTGCCCATCTGGGATCATGAGCCACTCCTGTTGAGCAGCCGTCCGTGGCATTTGGATAGCATGAGCTTAATGCCAGAAAGTCTGGAGAGCTGTAGACAGGGCCCACAAAAGCTTGGCAGTGGAATGTCGAACCATTGACCTGCAAGGTCACTGTGTGGAGTTTATTTATTCTTTGGTAATATTTATTTCCATTCTCTCTGTATTTGCAGGACATAGCTCGCTTTTTGCAAGAAAAGGAGTTACAGGAAGAGAAAAAACGAAAGAAACACTTTCCAGAGTCCTCTGGAGCCAATGCTTATGGAGATAGTTACTATTATGAAGATGCAGGTAACAGTGTCTACATCATGACCTATGCTGTCCTCAGACTCAACTGCAAGATGCCCCTTTAAATTTATCCGTTAAGTGACCTTAAGGCCCATTTAGATTTGTGGCAGAATTCTATCTGAATCTGGTGAATTTATCATGACCAGAGCCAGTTTTATGGCTGTTAAAACTTGAATGTGGTTTTGTAAGATTTGGCGTGCATTCTTTGGTGCTGTTGCCACTTGGAATGTTGTATTACATTCTAAGCATATAAACTGGGGTGTGGAAAATGGCAGCTGAGTCTCTGGGCTTGATCTTCCTTAAGAAAATCTGGGTAGTACTGTTTGAAGCAGCAAGGTGGCATGAAGAATAAAGAAGGTAGACTGTATGTCAATTACTGGATAAGAAAGCTTTTTTTCAACGCTTCTTGTCTTTTAAACCTAGGCCAATGGTTTAGCCTGCTGATGACAAAATTAGATTTTAAGATTCTCTGTTCATTTTTCGCTCTTGGTGCTTTCTTTGCTGTTTGATAACCATATGGAAACATTTCTGAGGGAGAGGTTCCTTCAGAGTCTCTCTTCTCCAGTGCCTGCTTTTGCAGTGTGATGGTGGTGGCAGTTGCGGTGGTGGTGCTTCTGAATAAAGTGTGTTGGGAAACGAGTATTTGCAAGTATTGTTCAGTCCTTTTTAAAGATCTGTCAAAGGAAAGACATTTCTTATAGTTTCTAGTGTCAGTATTTATTGTTGTTCAGCTGGGAGACCATACGTGGATACCAAGTAAATAAAATCTAAAGGCAGCTTCTAGAGAGAAGAGATTTTAAGGTCAGTGATCCCAAAGGCCCTTGCAAACTAATTATCAATTGCTTTTCTATAATTTCATTATAAAAGGTAAGTATATGTTTGTCTTTGATGAGTAGAATGAAAGGAATGTATATATAGATGATAGGATTATTATAGTTTGAGTAGTCTTGCCCAGTCACATTGTTGTTCTAAATTTGTCATAATCAGTAGAGCTCAGCTCTTTGGCATAATTAGTAAGCAGGTTGAGTCTCTATTTATTGCTTAATGTGTTTTTCTTCCACTTGTAAAATGCTCAGCTCTTTTTTGATAGCCATTTTCCTTATGCTGGCTTTTCTAATGAAATCATGTATTACATGTATTTAGAAAGAAAAATTAGGGCTGGCCCAGTGGCGCAAGCAGTTAAGTGCATGCGCTCCGCTGCGGTGGCCCGGGGTTCACCGGTTTGGATCCCAGGCGCGCACCGACGCACCACTTGTCAAGTCATGCTGTGGCGACATCCCATATAAAGTAGAGGAAGATGGGCATGGATGTTAGCCCAGGGCCAGTCTTCCTCAGCAAAAAGAGGAGGATTGGCAGATGTTAGCTCAGGGCCGATCTTCCTCACAAAAAAAAAAAAAAATTATTGCCATATTTTGCTATACTACAGAGCAGAAGGTAGAGAGTTACTCGTCAGCCTTAATTACAATCTTAGAAATGTGGTCTGGTGGTTTTTGTTTGTTTTTATTTTTAATCCTACTCTAGAGGCATGCTCACTGCAAATAAAAGTAACTATTTTAAACTTTTAAGTCTATAAAAACGTTAGGATGGCAAGTAATTAAGTACACTAAAATATTAATTTTAGTCTTCCTCTATTAAAACCTTACACTGACTTGGATTAGGACTCAAACCTGGTTGTTTTGACCCAAGTGCTATCATCCTGATTCGTATCTCTAGGGCAGGAGACTATATTAAGAATTCAGTGGTTTTTCAGGGTCACTTAAAAGTTTAAAAGATCAATTCTATATATATTTTAACTGCTTTTGTAAACTTATAGAGAGTGGCTCTGTATGGCTATATATGTCACTTTTTTGGAGTTGGGGGCATTGGACATGGGAAGTAGTGACCTCCTGAGCATATACGTGTAAATATTGGAAATTCTCTTCAGTTGTGTTGTTGTTGAGAGGTTCTATACTCCTGAACATATGATCCTCATTTATATGCCTTTGAGTTAAAGCAAGTTGAGGTCCCCAGAAACCACATTATAATTCAGCTCGTATTTACAAAGTGATCCTTACATTCTTTGCAGTGGTCCTTTCCCAACACATAAGGGATATTCTTTAATTGTACTTCTCTATCTTTATGTGTAATATGATTTTTGCCTTACATAATAATCACAGTATATTATTACAGAAATGGTCTTCTTTTCAGCTTTTATTTTACTTAGATGGTAATAAATTAATCTTTTTAAAATCATTTATAGATTTTCTACAAATTTGAAATTATCTAAAACATCTGTCAAATTTACATCAACTGGAATGGTATATCTTATTCATTTGTGAATCCATGTTTTTCTTTCATAGCCACTTACGTGTATTGCAGGCATGTTGGTGATTTTTTTTAAGTCACCGTCTTTGGAGTTATAAGACCTTGGTTCAAGTTCCATCCCTTCCTTAAGAACTATTGTAATGTTAAGGAAGTTATCTACTGTAATCACTCTAAGCCTTTTTCTCATCTGTAAAATGGAGATTCTAAAAATACATCCTTTACATGGGTGTTGAGAGGATCAAATAATATAATTTTGGTGAAGATGTGTAAACTCTAAAGTACTATTGTTTATACATATATCAGTGTTATGTGTGTATAACATAGAATTTTGTATATCTAAACAAAAATCATCTTGTTTTGAAAGACAAACATGGAGGCACACAAATAAAATGTGTATATATACATATGCATATATATATTGTATGTGTATATATTGGCATAAGGAAGTTAATTATATTTGCCAAATAACTTGGTTTCAAGAAACATACAAGTCCCAGTCCTTAACTGGATGAGGTTTTAAAGGATTCAAACAGATTCCCCCACCCCTGTCTTTTTTTTTTTCTTTCCCAGGTTTAAAGATATCACAAGTGAACTAGACAATAAATATTTTTTCCTGTCAACTCTGAAAATATAGTGACAGCTCTGTTCTAATTCTTGCAACACACTTCCCTAAAGCAAAACTGCTAATATCAATTAACTTTCTTAGAAAGAATTAAAACAACAACAACAAAACAATCGTAGCCTCACAAATCCATGGTGAAAACAAAACCCTTCTTGTTTCTTTTGGGCTTAAAGGCCGACTTCACTCATGCAGCTGTCTGTGGGAACATTGGTATTAACACTGTAAGCCGTTGTTCCCTGGACGTGGTCATCATTGAAGTAGCCCGTCAATATTATATTAACTCACAGTGGTAGTCAACTGATTCTTTCTCAGTTGTCAAGATTCACTTAAAATAATAGTTTGGTTAAAAGAGTAGATACTTTATCACAGGCAGTAATTATTCAGTTTCGCTTTTGCTTTTAGGTAAAAAGTAAATTTAACCACAAATTACAAAGATAAATACTTTTACAGACTTTTAAGAAGACAGATTTTAATTTAAATGTTATCTTTGAGGCAAATTTTCTTTCTTCTGGAAAGCTCAAGATGAAACAATTTAAAGTTTTTGAGAAGCTTATGGCACTGTTGATGCATTTAAGCACCTGTCGCCCCTTCCTCTATTCCTTTATTAGATTGACAATAAAATACTTAAAAAAAAAACCCAAACCAAAGCAAAACCAAAAAAACAACAATCAAAAAACCTAAAAACTAAGAAAATGCATAGTTCTTTATTTAGTTCCTTTACATCCCATCAAATTAGGGTAGCTGTTTCAAATGCAATTCAGCAAGTGGCTAATTCCAGCAGGGAAGGTATCTTAGCTGTCTTAGCAATTTTCCATGGAATTAGGATTTCTTTTTATTATTTCCAAAATGTGGTAAAAGTCTTAGAAAATGTCAAAATAAATATGCTCTTGCAAAGTGTGTTTTAATTTGCTTCATTTGTTCTCACCCTATGCTTGTGCCTAAATGAGGCCTGACAAAAGCACCCTTCTGTGCGCTGTTTTTGAAGTTGGTGTTACATTTAGGGACTTGTATATTTAGCACATACTGTATTTTTATACAGAGAATACAATATCATCAAGTTTTTTTAAATGTATTTAGGAAGTGACTCCTTTTTAAGAATTCCATTATGGCATCCCTTTTTATTTTTTTTCTCTGCCAATTTTCAAGTAAGATTGGGAGAGCAGAGTTATCCAATGATAACAGGGCCATTTACTCACTTAAAATTCTCCTCTACTCCATCCTCTTCCACATTGAACTGTAATATGGCTGAGAATATTTGCTTTGGCCACCTAAGGGGAGAGGATAGAGGAATATTAAATCTGTGAATCATTTCTCTCAACTAAGTGGAAACTAGCAACATTCTAATATAGCTTTACTATTATTTCCAATAAGAATGTTTGAAAGCCTCTGACTGAAGTCACAAAGCTTGGTGTTTTTCTGCTTTATAAGACTCCCTTAGGGCCGGCCCCGTGGCTTAGCGGTTGAGTGTGCGCGCTCCGCTCCTGGCGGCCCGGGTTCGGATCCGGGGCGTGCACCGACACACCACTTCTCCAGCCATGCTGAGGCCGTGTCCTATATTACAGCAACTAGAAGGATGTGCAGCTATGACGTACAACTATCTACTGGGGCTTTGGGGGGGGAAAATAAATAACTAAATAAAAATTAAAAAAGACTCCCTTAATCTCCACTTTTCCCCTATATACTAGTTCCAAATTGGTTTTATAAGTAGAATTTAACATTTAATGGCTGTAATTTTTGTTATTGGCAAATATTAAAGTATTATTAACTCTTCCCTAATCGTGATCAAGGTCTTCTTTCAGATTTAAATTATTTCACTTAATTTTATTTTAGCATTTACCCTTTTTGCTAGGTACTCAGAATCCTTCATGTATGTATGGACCATTCTAGTAAATGCCCATTCCCTCTTTTCAATTTGTTAAATTGAAAAAGTAGTTTTCTCCATTTTGAAATATGTTCAGCTTGGGCCCTGTCTCTCCCCTGTGTAGTAAGTTCATGCTCTCAGTAAGTTAACCTGCATTTCTATTTTTCACATCCCTCCACCTCCACTCAGACCAGCCACGGTCAAGGAGGGCAAGGGAATTGGGTTCTGGATCCTCAAGATCTTGTAGACTCCAAAGTGAAGAAAAGACTGTGAAGCAGAGAAAGGAGAAACCAAAACATCCACTGGAGAACTTGGAAGAACTAGAAGAGCATTGTTCATCAGGGAAATCTCCATCTTCCTCTAACTTGGGTAAAATGAAGGACAATCCCCAGATTAACAGTGAGCAGTGTGAAAGGAAAAGGTCTGGTCGTGAGAGGCTCCAGAGATCTCCTCTTCCCAAGATCAGTGGTGAGGTGTTTCTGAGCACTGAATTTGATGACTGGGAGGCTCACCATAGCCATCGAACTCGGAATTGGGAAAAACAGTCCAGATGCCAAGACCGACTTTCACCCAAGTCCGCACAGAAAGCAGGGCTTCACTGCAAGGAAGCTGTGTCTGGGAGGGATCATGGGAAAGGTGAGCACAGAGAAAGGAAACACAGGCCTGGGACTCCTCCCTTCTCAGAGAGTGAGGAACGGCTCCAGCTCCGTGACACAGGTAATAAAGGACAGTCTCGTTGGAAGTCCTGGCATCATGTACGTATATACAAACAAATGTATTTAATAAACGTTTTATTTCTTTCTCTCTAGTTTGTGCTCATGGCTTTGAAATAAATCCTGGAGCCAAATATTGCAACAGATGTTTACTTAATCTCAAGTCTGTAGGAAGAAGGAAAATATTTGTACCTTTCCCCTTCTGCCTTCTAATCAAAGAATACACTGATTTCTTGCAAGATTCTTCCAGCCCCAGACTGCAGTGGAAGTGCCCTCCCAGATATAGTTCTTCATTTGCCAAGACCACACATCAGAGATTCTGACACCAAATCAGAGCTCTTGAATTTCTGGCTTTAATTCAGTGAACCCAGCAGATCTGGTGACACTGCCTTCATAGTATTTGCCTAACTAGAACACCAACAGGGCTGGACGTACTAGATTTTATTGACCTCATCTTTCCTATCTGTAAAGTGAGAGATTGGATAGTCAATCTCTTAAGACAGCATTTTTCAAATTGTAGGCCTTAGTCCATTTTCGTCAGATCAGCTGAGCTGTTTCCTAAAAATGCAGATTTCTGGTCTCACGTATATTATCATCTGTGGAGTGCAACCTGGCAATTTGAGTTTGTTTTAGACCTGGAGTTGATTCTTATGTACTCAAAGTTTGAAAACCATTGCCTTAATTACTTTCTATGATCTAACCTTCTTCAACTCTAGTAACTATACAGTTGGTGTTCTGAAGTGCCAAAATCAGGTAAGTTCTTGGTACTTGTATAGGAATGAGGTGAATATTAGACTTAGGCCTCAAATTTCTGGCATCTCAGAGGCTTAACTCTGAAGTCCATCATTGACACAGTCATGGTTCTCTCTATTCTTGTCTGCAAACTGCTGTGGTGATGTTTTGCTTGTGTCTGTACCACTACAAGTCAGAGCCCTACCTTGTCCGGTATTTTAATCAGACCATACTCATCTCCCTGGTGCTATTTTACTCTTATTGAAGTTTTTCAGAGATGCAGGGGTTATTGGGAAAGGAGTACCAAGGAGGCATCTGTTCTTAATTTCTTCCTTATTGTTGCCCAGCCATCCTCTACCTCTGGTCTGGAAACCGGTTTCTAGGTTGCAGATTCAGGTAGATTCAGTTGGTTCTTCCTGTCGTGTTAATCCCTTACGTTATTACAGGACTTGGTCGTTAAGAAAATGAAAATTCAGTGCAGCAAGCCATACTGAGTATCTGCCACAAATATTCTTGCCTCAGGCTTTATGTTTGGGGACTTATGCTTGGATCGGAGCCTCAGGGGGTTAATAAGTCAAGCCAAAAAGATGGATATGTAAACAGACCATTGCAAATTAGATATACTTTGAACAAAGAGCTCTGGGGGAATGGAGGAGGAAGTGATATAATCTGTGGGGAGCAGGCTTTATGAGTAAATTATGCTGTATCCAGATTTAGAAAGACATGTTGGAGTCCTAAGGTGTAGGGGAGGAGTGGTGATTACACCAACCTCTGTATTTCTGATTCTGTGAAACTGACTTTGTAAGTATGCAGTGGTTAACCTTTGAGGGCTAGTTAACCTTTATGGCTTTTAGTTATACTTGAGGGTATCTTAAGCAGGCTTAGGAAGGGTGAAGCTAATATGAAACTAAACACTAACTCACAGACCCTGATACTGGAGTTATAGGCAAATGTTTTGTTTCTTTTATTTTGCCAAGGGTTGAAAAAACAATTTGGCTACACAGGTACTAAAAATGGTACGGCATAGCTGCTACTGTCTATCATTTTATATTCAACTTACTTAACAAATTTTACCTCCCTAGCCCCTGTAGGCATTTGATTTTGCAACCTCCTGGAATAGGTCAGAGGATTACATTAAAATATAACTACTAGGTACCAGTGTCTGTTCTTGCTTTTGTAAAAGCACAATTCTTAAAGTTGTTATCACAGGCCAGAGTTTTATTTAACTTAATGAAGAAACTAGCAGGATGACAAAGAGCTAGTTCTAAGAGCATTTACAGGACAGGATTTTATAGTTAGTTGAAAAAAGAATGCAAAATATAATTGCTAAATATGAGAGTGGTTAACTTTCTAAGGAGCGGTAAAACCGTATCACCTTTAAGGGTAACTTCTCTATTGAGCTGTTAAATCATAACAGCTCATTAATTTTCTGCAGGTTAACTTCCAGCCTCTCAGGGCCATAAAATATCTGCACCTTTTTGCTGTGGCATTCCCCAAGTGTCAGACTGGCTTATTACAAAATGCTTTTGATATCAAAGAATGTATCAGTCATCATTTTACCTTATTCCAAGCTTGGGATGTTTGTCTTGAATACCAGTACTTGTAACATTTTTGTGTTATTCTATCAGAATTTATTTAAAGGTAAGCTTTCTATGTGTATGTTTATTGATTTATTTTTTATTGCGGTAACAATGGTTTATAACATTGTATAAATTTCAGGTGTAGTCTGTGTTTATTGAGGGAGATTTCTGTGTCCTCACGTTGGAGAAAGATGAATAGAAAAAGACAAGCAGGAATTAGATTAAGAAATGAATGTGGAACTGCTGAAAATATGGCTCACCTGACTTTTTGAAAGCTAGTTTCCAGATTATGTTTAGGCTACCAAGATGAGGACAGCCATTCCATTAATTTCCTTCTATTAACTGTATTTTTAAAAATTTTTAAAGCATCTCTGTTTTTTGTAATGACAGCCTTACACTTCATTATCGGAAGTTCCTTCTTACATACTTATAAAAGCTCTTTTCACCTCTGGTACCGAGGGCACTACATTGAGTGGGCAGTCCTGTCAATCCAGAAATCTAGTATTCCAGTCTGTGGAGATTTTCTGCTTAGAGACATGCAAGTTCCAGTGGTATATCAAAAATTCAAACAAACTCTTTTCCTTCTAAACATTTGCGACTTAGAGATTACCTCAGATTCTTTTTATTTATTTATTTATTTATTTATTTATTTATTTATTTATTTATTTATATTGAGGTATAGTTGACATATTAATTTCAGGTGTACAACATAATTTGATATTTTGTATATATTATGAAATGATCACCACAATAAGTCTAATCAACATCTGTCACTATACATAGGTACAAATTTTTTTTCTTATGGTGAGAACTTTTAAAATCTACTCTTTTTGCAACTTTCAAATATGCAATACAATATTATTAACTATGGTCACCATACTGTACCTTACATCCTCATGGTTTATTTTATAACTGGAAGTTTGTGCGTTTTGGCCCCTTTCACTCATTTTGCCCACTCCCCGCCCTGCCTCTGACAACCACCAATCTGCTCTATCTATGAGCTTGGTTTTTTTGTTTTTTTAGATTCCTCATATAAGTGAGATTATATATATTTGCCTTTCTCTGTCTGACTTGTTTTACTTAGCATAATGCCCTCCAGGTCCATTCATGTTGTTGCATGTGGCAAGATTTCCTTCTTTTTTGTGGCTGAATACTATTCCTGTGTGTGTGTGTGTGTGTGTGTGTGTGTGTGTATGTATGTGTATGTGTGTACACACAAACTGCGTTTTCTTTATTCATTCATTCAACAATGAACACTTAGTGTTGTTTTCATGTCTTGGCTATTGTAAATAATGCTGCAGTGAACATAGGGGTGTATATACCTTTTTGAGTTAGTGTTTTCATTTCCTTCAGGTAAATACCCAGAAGTGGAATTGCTGGATCATATGGTAGTTCTATTTTTAATTTTTTGAGGAACCTGCATACTGTTTTCCATAGTGGCTGCACCAGTTTGCATTCCCACCAATACTGTGCAAGGGTTCTCTTTACTCCACATCCTGCCAACACTTGTTATTTCTTGTCTTTTTAATAATAGCCTAGGCAGGTGTGAGGTGATAGCTCATTGTGGTTTTTATTTGCATTTCCCTGATGATTAGTGATGTTGAGCATCTTTTCATATACCTGTTGGCCATCTGTATTGGAAAAATGCTATTCAGATGCTCTGCCTATTTTTAAGTCAGATTGTTTTTTTGCTATTGAGTTGTATGAGTTCTTTCTATATTTTGGATATTAACCACTTATCAGATATGTGATTTGCACATACATTTTCCAATTCTGTAGCTTGCCTTTTCATTTTGTTGAGGGTTTCCTTTGCTGTGCAGAAGCTTTTTAGCTTGATGTAGTCCAGCTTGTTTGTGTTTGCTTTTGTTGCCTTTGCTTTTGGTGTCAACTCCAAAAAGTCATCTCCAAGGTCAGTGTCAAGGAGCTGACCGCCCATGTTTTCTTCTAGGAGTTTTATGGTTTCAGGTCTTATGTTCAAGTCTTTAATCGATTTTGAGTTAATTTTTGTGTATAGTATAAGATAATGGTCCAGTTTTATTCTTTACATGTGGCTGGCCAGTTATCCCAGCACCATTTTTTGAACAGATTGTCCTTTCCCCATTGTATATTCTTTGCTCCTTTGTGGTAAATTAATTGACTGTATAGGCGTGGGTTTATTTCTGGGCTCTCTGTTCTGTTCTATTGGTCTGTCTTTCTCTTTTTAACTGCCAAGAGGTCACAATCTTATCACCTTGTCAAACCAGTTAAGACTGTTCATTTGACTATTTTGTTTGAATGCCTTCCAAGTGTCTTTGATAGATAGTAAAACAAAATATTTTCTCAGTTAACTCTGTGGTGTAGAGTAGGAGGCATAGTAGTGGAGAAAGTTTAGTGTCTCAAGATCTGAGCACATCCCACTCTGTTGTTTCTTTCACTGGATGGCAAACTTGAAGGAGCAAGGCATAAGTGTGATCCCTCCTGTCGTCCTCGACTAGGCTTCAGGCTGCTCACTGAAGTGTCATTTTTCTATAGATGGAATATGGTATAGCAACCTGTCTTGTCCACTGGCTTGGCCCAATACCAACCTCCGTATCTAATTTCGTGTATTTTCCCTGAAATATGCCTTTCTAGTTATGACCAAAGTAAACATTACTCAGGGAAGTTTATATTCCGTTAAATATGGTCCACTCTTGGGATTATGCCACTGTTTCCTGACTGTCCCAGACCACTCAGAAATATGGGTTAAAACCCGCCCAGCCTGGCATAAGATTCAGTAGCTCTAGAGATGATGTGAAGTTGAAGTGGATTCTCTGTTCTGGGGAATCAGGTACTGATAGGCCTGAAGTTGAGAAAGCCAGGTTTAATAGTCTGTATTTGTGGGAAAGGCAGATGAGTCTGTGGTTTTTGGATTTACCACAAAGCTAGGTTTAAAGCTCTACAGGGAAAGGCTTCAGCAGATAAACTGTCTTCATTTGCCCAGAATTTAGTTGCATTTTTTTTTCTTTCCTTTTTTCTTTCTTGTTTAAAGCAAGTGAATGGAGTGTGGGGAGACATTTTGATAAAAATTGTTTCAGTGTAGTTATTTTGATGGCCACAGTACACTAAACTAGTGTTCCAATACTAATTGCAAATAAGAATCAACTGTTAAGATTTTAAAAAAACAAACTACCAGAGGCCAAATCTCACTCAGGCTGCTTAAATTAGAATCCCTGGGGTTTGAGTCAAAGATATTTGTGTTTATTTAAAGCACCCCAGGTGATTCTAATATATAGCCATGGCTGAGAACCACTGATAAAAAGAAATAGGCAATTAGGAGTAAATTTTCTTTCTCCCTTCAGTAATCCATTTACTGAAAGTCACTATTCCAAATAGTTAATCTTGTTCACTGCATTAAAAATTTGTATTATTTCTGAATATAATATATTCACATTGTTACATAATTGTAATTTATGGAGTGTACAAACAGGGAAATGTCCACAATTTTGAAATAGCCATTAGCATTTACCACTTAATTAAAAGTTATAAAAGAAATATATGCAACTTATAAAATTTAAAAGTAAAAAGCCAAAATTCCCCACTGTTCTCCCATGTTCCTTTCTCCTCAGAGGAATAGAACTGTAGGGTCATTGTGCTCTGATGTTTCCCTTATGTTATATCTTCCCTAAAATTTAGCCACAGTTAAATGGATCAAAGCTATGGGAAAGATCGTAGGTTAGTTGCCCATCAGAGCAGAAGCTGTGGCAGGGCCACTGGTTGGCTAACAGGTACTGTCACCTGACTCCCAGGGGATGCTGTTTGTCTTCCCTTTGAACTAAGATATGCAAGGCCGAGGCAAATAGAAGGAAGCTTCTCATTTCCTCCAGTCCCGACAGCTTGGCCTCTTTAAAACTCCAATTCTGGGGCCGGCTCCGTGGCTTAGCGGTTAAGTGTGCGCGCTCTGATGCTGGTGGCCCGGGTTCGGATCCCGGGAGCGCCCCGAGGCACCACTTCTCCGTCCAACGTGAGGCCGAGTCCCACGTACAGCAACTAGAAGGATGTGAACCTATGACATACAACTATCTACTGGGGCTTTGGGGGGAAAAAACTGAATAAATAAAATCTAAAAAAAAAAACAAAAAAAAACTCCAATTCTGTAACTTTCTTTTCTCTACATTCTTTTTATTTTAGTGACTTAAGTTTTTTTTTTTTTCACTTCCTATTTTGCAAAAGCCTCACTTACAGTTCCTTGTGTGATTTTCTGCTGTTGAAGAAACCATGTGAGAGGGGAGTTTCTACCAGGCAGGTTTGGGTGGGTAATTTTATTTAAATGTATGGATTATCTATATCACCACTTCCATGCCTAGGGGAAAAAATTATTTCATAAGTGCACCCTACACTGAATTTTGGAGTGGTGGCAGTATTGTCAGTGTTAGACATTAAAGAAAAAACTTCTTGGGGCTGGTGCTGTGGCATAGTGGTTAAGTTTGTGTGCTCCGCTTCGGCGGCCTGGGGTCCGCAGGTTCGGATCCTGGGTGCGGACCTGTGCACTGCTTATCAAGCCATGCTGTGGCGGCATCCCATATACACAATAGAGGAAGATGGGCACGGTTGTTAGGTCAGGGACCATCTTCCTCAAGCAAAAAGAGGCAGATTGGCAACAGATGTTAGTTCAGGCCAATCTTCCTCATCCAAAAATAAATAAATAGATTAAATAAAGAAAAGAAAAGAAAAACCTTCTTTACCGTAAATTTTGCAACTTTTCAGAAAACAAAGTCAGTTGCCTTATTACTTTGAGTTTTTTCTAGGAATGAAGCCGAGAGGGATGAAAGAAGCTGTCTCTACTCCCTCACGAGTGACCCACAGGAATCAGGAATGGTATGATGCAGAAATTGCCAGAAAACTGCAAGAAGAAGAAATTTTGGTAAGCAAATTGTAACGCAGAAGTTCAGGTGAATCAGTAGGTTTGTTGTGAATTGAATCATTCTTGAGGTTATATAGTAGGCATTATTATAGTCCTCTATCAGTTGACAAACTGATAGCTTTTTTATGGGTGGAAAAATCAAGACAATAAGCATAGTGTCTAGTTTTACTTACTGAGTAAGCATTAACAACCAAATTCCATATCTCTGTCTGTCCATTATTGAGTTCTGATAATTCTCTGAGAATCTATGGTAGAATTTGATAAAAATAGACCCTATATATTCGGCTGGTGAAAGTATACTAACTGATTATCAACTTAGGGATGTTAATCGCAGCTAGTTTCAAATACCAGTTTATTTTATGTAAGATTTTAAAAAATGGACAGCATAGATTTCAATTAAATTATTCTTTTTTGTATATTCTCTACCATAGGCTACCCAGGTAGACATGAGAGCAGCTCAAGTAGCCCAGGATGAGGTGAGTTCATGTTAGTTAATGAATTTGTTTAGCCAATATTCTTTGGAAATATCTCAGTAATTTTCTACCCACAACTCTGCCAATCAGTGGTATTGACTGGATTTGTTTAGGAAATTGCTAGACTTCTAATGGCCGAAGAAAAGAAAGCTTACAAGAAAGCCAAGGAGCGGGAGAAATCATCTTTGGACAAAAGAAAGCATGACCCTGATTGGAAGGTAGGGTCTGTTCTTTTTTCTTTGCTTTTAATTAGAAACAAAATTCGAAATGAAAAAGGGTCTCTGCTTTTAGGGAATGCTTTGCAAATATATTTAGAGTATACAAATTACCTGTATCTTGTATGTGAATCTGACTTATAAAAGTTGTTTCACCATGAAAAATCATATTGAATTCCTGAAAGGAACTATGTAAAAAGTTACTGCTAAGATTGAAGTTTATTCCAGTCATTTTAAGACCAACTGAGATGCAAGTGCCTCTAGTCATGAGCAGTCTTAGTTTCTATACTTAGTTTATAGGAGAATGCAGCCTTTTCACATGCTCTCAGGTTTCCACGGTGGCCTTCTCGTCCTCTCTCTACTTTCCCCATCTGCTTGTATTGTCCTTCATTCCTGATTATGTACCAGCTGTTTCTCTTTCCTCTGACATCACTTGATCCATGGCAGAATGACACATATCTTGTCACCAGCAATCATTGCTTATGCCAGAGTGCGAGAAGTGTCTAGTGTGAGCTTGAACTGTTATCTTCCCCTCATTGATCAGACATAGTAGACAAAACAGTCAGTGACTGCAGTTGGTTCTGCTGTATAATCTGTTGTATGTGGTAGATGCAAGTTCACTTTAAAAGACTTGACTCATGAGTTACTGTGTGCAAAGCGCCACTCTGGACTTACAGGGAAAGACAGAGATATTTTCCTCACGATAATATATAAGGGAGAGAGGAAGACAAGCTGTAGACAGCTAGCAAATACAAGGTCGAGCTGGCTGAAGGAAGAGCAGCAAAGGAGAAGGCAAGAATTCATACGGTAAGGCTTTTTAGAGAGGGAGATTGTACTCGTCCTGGAAGGATGCAGCCGCGCTGTGTGTCCGTGATACGGCTGATGGTAGCACCCTTCTTTTTCTCAAACAAATTCCTCCCTTGGGTCTCGGATCCTGTCTCCATGTCAGCATTGGTTAAGCGGAGAAAGAAGACATGGAAACCGTGGTAATAATATTGCTCTACTGTTGCCTCTTGCTCAATTACTCAGTTGTCAGTCTGAAAACAAATGAAAGTGTTATTTCCATGTTAATTATTTATATTTATCTCCCTCTTTTACCCTCTAAGCAACGCAGGATCTTTCCTAACAGACATATTTCAGTTTAGTAGAAGGGTTGCCAAATGCTTCTGCTACATAAATTAAGCCGCAAATAATTGTCTGGGAGTTATTCAGATTCTTGAACGCAACTATGAAGGCGTAGGTATTTTTAAGGATTACAAATCAGGAAGGTAAGAGGGGGAATGCCACATTGCCAGCAATATCAGGACTTCTAGAATTTCTAGATTCTAGAACTGGTGCTGGTACAGTTCCTCTCCTAGAAAAGTTGGCTTGAATGTGCCTTAGTTTCCTGGCTTGAAAATCATCCTGCCTAAGTCAGATGCTCAGAAATAAGTTTAAGAGCACAAACCTAGATTCCACAGACTCTGGGAGTCCACCAGTTCTTATCAGTGCTATGCAGCTGTGATGTTAATAATGGGCGGCCAGGCACACCCTTGTGGGGGAACATGTTCGTGTGTGTTTAGCCCACTCGTTGGCTGCACTGACAGCTTCCACCATAGCCTTCATGAGTTAATTTTTTTTATTTCTCAGTGGTTGTATTTAAAAATATTTTATGTTGCTCAGCTGAATGTAAGTAACCTGAAATCACTAAAGGAGAGTTTGCATGATTTAGATATTTTCTAAACCTGATCTTTCTTTCTTTGCTATTTTCTGTGTGTGTATTTTTCTTTTTCTTTTTTTTTTTTCCTGCTTGTAGCCAAAACCAGCTAAATCGTCAAACTCAAAGTCAAAAGAGAGTGATGAACCTCATCGTTCTAAGAATGACAGGCCAGCACGGTAAGGTGACACCTGAAAAGGATAGTGAGGATTAACTTTGGGGTGAGTAAGTAGGTGTTCTTTGCCTTAGAAGAGTGTATGTTCTTCAGAGAGAGGAGATCCAGAAATCTGCAATTATGAGGTGGTATCAAGTCTTGCAGGATTATTTTCAAACTCGGTTTCCATTCTTAAATTGGGTTAAACAAGTCAAATCAGGAAGATGAGGAATTTTACAGAAGCTGAGGTGTAGAAGGAAGGAGGTGCTTTTTTTTTTTTTTTCCCTTTGTGAGGAAGATTAGCCCTGAGCTAACATCTGATGCCAATCCTCCTCTTTTGGCTTAGGAAGATGGGCCCTGGGCTAACATCTGTGCCCATCTTCCTCTACTTTACGTGGGACGCCGCCACAGCATGGCTTGACAGGCGGTGTGTTGGTGTGCGCCCAGGATCAGAACCTGCGAACCCTGGGCCGCCGAAGCGGAGTGCGTGCATTTAACCGCTGTACCACTGGGCTGGCCCCAGGAAAGATGTGCTTTTTGTTAGAACCAGTTCTTGTCTCTAGATTCACTGAATCGATGCCCTCAGCTAAGGGGTGAAACTAACCATATTCCTAAGTAAAATCTCAGGTTTTAAATTTTTACTGAGTTTCAGGGTCACATGTGTGTGTGACATTTACATATGCTTCAATTCATTTCTATGTGTGTCTGAATGTCTTAGGCAAGTACTTATTTGAGTCATTGCAGACTGTTCTAAATCCCACTAGATCAGATGGCTGTGGCTATGGTAGATGCTCTTTCTGACTTCTCTCAAGCAGTCTTGGGTCATAGTTATGGAGCAACTGCTATCTTTCCACCTCAAGTTGTCAACATTTAAGTTTCTGGGGAAGCAGCCTTTTTTTTTTCTTTATTGCTTTCTGTTGCTTTTCAAGAGGAAATATAATTGGAATGGGAAGAGAGAACATTAAATAGAAAAAGACAAAAGTAACACTAAATCTAACATTTTGAAAATTCTAAATTGTTAAAACCTTGTATTTCAGCCCTGGTTATTAATAATACATTTATTAATTCTTAAAATGTAAGTTTTATCACACTGAAAAATGTACACTGTTTTTTCCCATTCATGACCCACACTAAACTGCTAGACTTGTTTCCTTAAAGTGAATACGTTTAGTGTCCTTAAAGAGCCATACTCTATTTTTAAACTCATGGGCTTTCAGAAAATAAATACCTTTCAGAAAATTATGTCAGGTTTGTAAAGCTCTTAGGACAGCAGTAGTATAGTCTAGCTAATTATATAAAATTGGTTCTTCTTGTAGCTTTTAGTTAAGCACATGCCAAACATTTTTTTAAAGCAGATTTTTCTAACTACAATGTTTAGTTTTATTTACATCTCTGCAATATCTAAGTAAAATAAGAAGTAACTAATATGTTCTCTGATAGTTGTGGCTTATTATACTTTTTTTTAGTTAAATGAATTAATATCATCTTTAGGGTTATTTTGCCATCTTCAAAGTCTTTGGCTCTTTAGAACACTAATAACTTTGACAGCAGATAGGATAGAACAGTCTGGGATGGCTATTTAAAAAGATTTGTTCAAGTTGAAAACAAGTTTCTGGAATATGATAGGTACTCTTAAAAATATTTGACATATTGAAAGAATGAGTAAACAAATGATCCTGTATTAAAAGTGGCTATTGTAAATGAGTGAAAAATGACCTATGACTAGTAGAACTGAAGTCTTTTTTGACTTGAGAGGAACATTTGTATTTAAATATCATTTACAGAAAGATTATATATATGACAAACCAAAAATGAATAAGAATTTTATGAAACGTATAGCTTCATAGTTAAAAATTAAAGTCTATTATCTTGTTATAGCTATGTTATACAACTAATATCAGAATGTATGCTTTTTACCATGTGACCCAGTGAGTGGTGGAATTGTAGTCACCACTACTTAGCATATCCCTTTAAATTCTGACTTTCCTTCAGGCCGCCACCACCTACCGTGACAGATCCTGAGGATTTGGATTGCACTCATTCTACAAACCAGCATAATTCCACACGTCATTTCTCAAAAGCAGAGTCCTCTCATAAAGGTAAGAAAAATATATATATGGTCAAGTTTAAGATCTTTTTTTTATAATCCTCATGCTATGGTGGAAAAATCAAATGTTGTCTTACAGATCACTAGAATGGAAAAATAAATTATCTTTCAGTAGATCATTGTAGTATTCTTCATTTATTAAAAAACAAAAAAGATTAAAAAAAAAAAAACAGAAAACAAAACATCTTAAGTCGAATGTAAGATTTTCTATGTATTTGTATTTTTCTCCAGAGAGAGTTCACGGCTTTCATCAGATTCCTAAAGGGTGACTGTGTCCCCATTTAGATCTACTGGGCTTTTTCTATACTGGCTCTTGTTTCCCATCTGCCCATGACTCTATTAATTAGATTTAAAATATACACACCACGCAAAACTTTTTCACGGAAGAAAAATGGGGCAAAGAAAATGAGGAAAGACTATGTGGTCTCAGTTGGACCAAATCTTTAAAATGAGAGGAATAGTTGAGTGTAGATGCTCTTCCAAGCATCACTTATGTGTATTTTTATGATAGTCATAAAATGAGATAATGAAAATGTAGTTTCTTATGTTAATTTCCTCATCTAAAAGTGGAGATGATTTTAATAGTCATGTTGTCAGGATCTTATAAGTAAAATGTATGAAAGCAGATTGCAGTAGACTTCACATAGATGCAGCCTTATTAATGATGTTTATTTGTTATGGTTTTTGAAGATTTCTTAGGGTGATGTTTTTACTATTCTTTTCTCCAAATCCAATGGTAGCCTTCCCAAACTTCTTTAAATTTTCTTTTCTGCTGTCGTTACAGAATACCAGTGCACAACTGCCACTCCAAACTAATTAAATCAGAATTTCTAGGGGAGGGGGGTTTCCAGGCATTTGTATTTTTGAAAAAGTTCTCCTTATCCAGCTGACGCCCCCCCCATTCTGACGTTCATCCAATGTTGAGAATAAGACACAAGACATTATTTAAAAGATGGGATTAGTTGTACCTTATCAAAACTGCTCATATACTACAATTCCCATCAGTTGGTGGTCTTTTCACCATCCCTGGTTTTAACTGAAAGTAGCTCATGATGCTTTTTTCTCAAATTCTATGCATGTATTACTTTTTAGGAGTCCCTTCCTGTCCTTGACATACATTTGAAACACAATATTAAAATAACACACTGATTCTGTATGCAAATATTGTACAGTCAGGAACAAAGACAACATGAACCACTTGAAATGCATGGAAATAAAGATAGATTATATCGCCTGAGCAAGGGGAAAAACAGAGTTCTAAGATTTTTCATTAATGGTGTTTCTTCTTTTTTCCTCCTCTCCCCAGGTTTCCATTATAAGCAGTAAAAACCTAGGAATCTGCCTTGAAAATGGACTCACTGTAGCAAATACTGCTAGATGATACAGAATGCATTCCACGCTTATTTTTTTTCCTTTTACGTTTGTATTCCTGGGTTTTAACCTTGACTGTTTTTCTGACCATAAATAGTTTTAATTCATTTAAAATGTTTTGGTTATTCCTGATCACTTGGGCAGTACAAGAAAATCTAGCTTCTGAATATTGGCCACCTCTATGCTGCATATACTTCCTGGGATGTAGTATCTAAGAGCTCCATAAAGTGCCATTTTCGTTAGGTATGGAGTATTGGTGTCTAGGGACTAGGCTTTATTTAGCAATTAGAATTTTGTGAAGATAATGATTAAAATGAAACATAATATTTGGATGCAACGCAGAATAAAATAATATAAGAAATAGCTTTTTTTGGTGCATTAGTGTATGACGTATTGAAAGACGGAGGCTTTTGCTTTTTGTACTCTTCAGGGAAAAAATATCACAACTATAAAATATTTAAAAACCACACACACACCTGGATAAGTTGAAATACATTATCCTGACTACCCGGACTGTAGAGGTTTTGCATGTCCTTATAAGTCCTCCTGGGAAAATTGGCCCAGATGTCATTCTCTAACGCTTTCTCTGCTATTTCTTCCTCAGTCGCAAGGCTTTCTGAAGCCTCTGGGCATCGGGCCGTTTGTTAGTATTTATTGGCAAAAATTTAATTCTATGAAATTTTAACCCAGGTCTCTGCAAAGTCAACTGAAAATGAAAAACTTCTCTTGTTTTACATTTACTTGTAGAGCCGAGGGAAATGGAACTGGAAGATGTTCACATAGGTGATGAAACCATCGTTCTCTCTGGCCGAATACTGAAATTTTCTTCTTGCTTAAAAACATAGCAGTATTTGTTGGCAACCTCTCAAAAATGTTTTGTGTGTCTGTCAATAATTAGATTAATTCAACATGAAGTTAATGTTGATAAAGTGGTTCTTTATCCATGTATTTGGTTTTACACATTGATTAATGATACATGGACATCAGCTTCCTTTGTACAAGGCCTTTAAACCCCTCCTCAAGATATCTTGAGTCTCTCTAGCTTCTAACCTCATGGAAATGCTTATTTTCTCATAATAGTTAGTTAACATAAATGGCAATCAAGATCCATATATATTTCCATATTCCTGCAGCTTGACTTGCTGTTTTCATTGTATGAATCTAATATTTTGGCGTTTTAGTATGGTGTTTATTTAGGAAAGAAATATATAGGTGACTAGAGAAAAAGTTGTTAATACATTCTTTTCCCACTGGAAACTGCCTTCTGTTTGCCTTATCTTTCCAGATCAACTTTAAAATTGGGCAATGTTCAGAAAGCTATTTAGATTAGTTTCTCAGAGTGGATTTGAGTCTTTCGTTGTGAGAAAGATCTTTAGTTTCATAAAGTTTTTGGATTTTAGGAACTTGAGTAAAAGCCATCTAAGAGTTAAATTTTGGGGAAATGATAATCTAGAAAGAAACAAAACCCTAAGAGATGTAGTCATTTCAGAAAAATGGGGGAAAGGGAAAATAATAGGACTTTGAATGGCTGTGAGGAAACGAATGAAGAAAAATCTTCATTTAAATAGGCAAGGGCAGGCAAAATGGAGGTCCTAGCCTTAAATCAAATTCCAGAGGGTGGTTTCAATATCCAAAGCTAAGTAAGGCATTGTTGACTTATAGTAATGCTATATTTTCCTTTGTCTGCCCTGTGATTTTGCTTCATATTTTAAAAAGTTTTTTATGGTAGCTTTAAAGAAAAAAACATAATGTATTTTTATTTGCTAATTAGGCAAATGGGCAACATCATTTGCCATATTTTTGTTTTATAAATGTTTATTTTTATATCTCATACAATGATCGGTTTTACTTTAAAAATTCTGCATTTCTCTTGCCTCTCATGTACTTTATCCAATCATATTTATTTTGTAAAATGCTAACTAGAGATAATTCATTCAGAAAATGTCAGGCCATTTAACACGTAACCAGGATGTTAGTGTTTCAGCTGTCTTAGTGAGTGACCAAAGGTGATATTTTCCTTGTGACATCCAATTCAACATCTGTGTTGAAAATTTGTTTTGTTTTTTTTTTTAGGTTTTTAAAAGATTAGAATTTTAAAATATTTTTATTTTATTTTATTTTTTTGTAAAGCAAACACTTTTTAAAGAGTATCAGAGTAATTTTTTTTCTGTGAATAAGGAGATAGAAATCAGAGGCAACCACTTAAATCCTCTTATTCTCTTTCAAATAATGTAATAATTATCTTTGAGACTACAGAAGCAACTAACAACTGTATTTTAAGGAACTGCCAAACATTGCTCACTGTGTTCTCTGCTTTTCACCTTGTCATTTTTATATAAATATGGAAGCATTTATTTTCTTCCTGTTCCTACTGCTGGAACAAACGCCACGTAATTTTTAGGCCCACAATGTATTTTGCTTTAATGTGATGTGAACTAAGACTTCTGGCCTTGGAAAATCTTTCTGTTTCTATACCTCTGCTCTCTGGAGGCCAGGCCCCATCAACACCAGTATTACTGAATGAGCACAATAGGTTTTGGAGCCTTATCATAAGGCTACTGGACATGTACACCTCCTTCCCACAGCCTAACTTTTTGTAAGTCATTGCCTGGAAGCAAGATTAGATAAGGGACAGATTAAATGTTCTGAGTTGAAAAAATTTGAATCCAGTGTCAAACCTTGTTAGATGTAAATATTTTTTTGGGAGATTGGAGAGTTGCTACGCATGCTTTAAAAGAACATTGAGATTTTTAGAAGGTGGCTTGGCATACCATTGAATTACTGTTTCTCAAGTGACTTTACGACAACCAGCAACAGACTAATGAACTGTAAAAAAGGCTATCTGGTTTTTGATCATAGAGAAACATCTAAATTAGAAAAGAAAGATATGGATAAATGCTTCCAGGAGGAAAACCTTTTCAGAATGGCAATGATCACTTGGATCTAGATCAGCATATTCTAAAATGTGTGACCTTGGGCCTTGTGTTCTACTGAACTCTAGAAAATTATGAACCAGACCCATTTTCTCCTTTTCTTCTCTACTGTGGCCTACAGCTGGATGGTGAATAGATTTGTTGCTGACTTTGTCCATACCTTTCCCTCAATGGCAGGACTTTTAAGTATAAAAATAATTAACTTTTAATTGATAATTATTTTTCCTTAATACTGTCAAATATTCTCTAAATTTTGTCTTGTGCCAAATTGTTCTCTGGAAACACCTGCTATAATATGGTGTATTCAGTTTACCACATAAGTGGTTAACATTTTTGGGCCTTGATTTTTAATGAGTGTTGCCTTTGTATAAAAATCACTTTGGGGAATACCAAGATTATTCATTTATTCAGTGATGATTTTCTTGCAAGGTAACTGTGGTGATTGGCTGAAAGATCTTTGGCCTAATAAAGGATCAAGACCTCAGTGTAATCACCTTTCTGAAAGACTGAGAACAGAATAGAACTTGGACTCAAAGGCTTTTTTCCCTTTTCGGAAAACAGTATTTGTGTGGGGAACATTAATATGGAAAGGAAACACTGTTTAGGTAGATTTCACTGTACGTAGCGTGCCATATTCTGATAACATCGGCTTTTTAGAAATAGTCATAAAAAAATCAAAACCTACTTTTTCAGCAAAAAGGAAAAAATAGATTTTTAAAGTACTTCGTCCGTTACTTACTGCACATAGAGAAGTGACTAGATAAAATGGTCCCATTTTCTCCTCATGTCTGGTGGTGCCTGTGAGTCTTAAAGCCATAACTGCTTATCTTACTGTTGATAGAATCTTTTTTTCCTCCTTAGCCCATAAATAGGTAACATGGGCAGGGAGAAGCGACTGCCTGATAATGCTGCATGGGGCACTGTGTCATCCAAATCCTGGCAGAAGAGTCTCTTTTATCCCTGTTGATATGTAAGGTTATTAAAGGGAAGAGTTGAGGCTGTTGTTGCTCCTACTATTTAACTGCTGTTAGAAATGCTGAAATTTAATTTAGAGAAGTCAAGAAGGAAAGGGTAAATTGGGAAAATCTCACTTCTACAGAATCACTTTTCTGATGAGACCTGCCTTTCTGCCACCAATGTCTGTCAGGAGCAGTATTGCCTTAAATTAGTTTGATTCTGACCGAGGTCAGTGTACTGTACTTCCTGCATGTGAACGACTGTCAACTCGCCACTGAGATATAAAATTCACAGGTGATCCCCAAACATCCTTGCAATCAGAAGCTTTGCCAACAGAAACATCCTCCCACTGAGCTATGGTGACCTATAAATACACCGATAGATATTTCAAGTTGCCTCTCAGTCTAGGAGTGAGCAGTGGCATGACTGAAAAGGCTGGTAGGAGAGTGAGGATTTCCTGGCCAGATTCTTCAGGTGATCATTTCCTGAATAATGGAGAGTTGACCGTCCTTCTCTTTCTATAGTGACTGTGTAGAAGATATTTCCACAGGTTCTGTTATGCAGTGAAGTCACTCGTTACTGTTTTGTAAGAATTTCACCAACACTCTTATGTATTGACATGCATACCATTAACAAAAAAAGGGAGAAAACCAAACAAAACAGAGATATTTACTTGAAATGGGAGATTTCTTGATGGGAAGAGTGTTTCTATTTTATTACATTCAAGAGAAAATTAACCAGGAAAACTTTTGCTGTGGTAGGAAAGACACCAGAGTGTTTTTTAAGGTTGTGTTTGATGCCCCAAGCTAACACAATCATTTAAGTAATCATGTTGATTTGTGGAAATATCTAGTCCTAAAAATCATTCTCTTTCCCTTATGTTATTGTGAACGCTGCCTAGAAACATGTTCCTAATCAATTTAATATGCTTTTCTGTATTCTCAGCAAACTAGAAAATGTTTTTCTCTTTTTGAGTAACTATTCATAGCATAGGTAGCCAGCTCTATGCTAGTTTCAGCATTTTGGATAAGAACAGAGTTAATTGTGTAACTTAGTGCCCCATTATTCATTGCTGAAGTTCATATAGAAAGAATAGAAGAATTGAAAGACAGGGTTTGAGTGACATTTCCTTCACAAAAGAGCAAGGATTAAGAACAGCAAACAGAAGACAGTTGAGAAAATATACTATTACACATCATGTACTTAGGATATGTTTTTGTTGCACTGAATTTCAGGCCTAATTGCTAAAATAGTTTCTAGCTGTTAAGTTTAGTGAGAAGGTTTTTGATGGCAGAATTTTTTCTGATTAAGTTAGCCTCTGGAGTCCCTGTAGGTTGTAACTTCAGATTTTGCTATATATACTGATAGCCAAATGCCCTTTCTCAGAAATAGCTGTATTTTTCACCTGCCTCTTAAAGGCAACCCAATATTTATTTCATGAAGTATTGTAAATAATGAGGAGGTACAGTGGGAAGATAGCATATAAAGATGATGTTCCAAAATGAGAATTCTCTCTAATGGGGTTTCCTTAAGAAGAATCCATTCCAGCACAATATTGTATTTTGAAAAGGTGCTGAATGATAAAGTACAAGAGTTTGTTCATATAAATCAAGTTGCTCAGGAAATTAGAGGTGGTGCTGTCATTTGTGTTATAATTTGGAGAAGTGCTCTCTTGAGAGAGGTACTACACAGTGCCTGGGTAGTTTCGGATTCTTTGGTAAGAACCCCTTTGACATTTGGAATGTGGATATGTTTAAAAAACAAATGAGATATTATCTCAAGTCTTCGTCAGTTTGTAACCAAGCCCCAGAGGGAGAGGCAGCTTTGAAATAGCTGCTTCATGGACCTGAACAGAACCTTAATGGAATACAGTTGCCTATCTGAGGATAGAAAACAGAGGCCACCTCAGACCACATGCCTATCTAGAGATTAAGTGAAACTGTGAGGGACACTTTGTGGATGCCTTAAAGGTGACTGGTGCTGGCTATTGGTGGATATCTATGATCTGGACTAGGCTGGTGGAAACAGTCTATTTCACTTCACCTTCATACAGCACAAGTTGTTCCTGCTGATGCCCTCATTGAGGAAAATGAGCAACGTGGTGCTGGTGACTTTCATGTGTCTTGGGAGGGTGAGGTGGTAATGTCATTCGGACTCTCCAGTGCTCACACCTCCCTCAGATGCCAGTTGTACATCTACATTAATTCATCTATGCAAGCTTGTGTTGTTATGATTTGTTTTTTACACCTTATGTCCCATTTGATTCTTTAAACATCAGGTTTAACATTGATATTATGAATAATTTTTAAACCAAAGTATTGTGTAAGTCTGCTCGTTCTCCTGGATGGTTTGACTGAGGCAAACACCAATCTTGTCCGTCTCTCTTAATAAAGTCATCCATTTGTTAAGCCAATGGTCTCTGTCTCATGTTTTCTTCACTGCGTTCAAGGACTTGGGAAGTTCTGGGACTATTATTTGTTTTTTCTTCTGTACAAAGTAACCTGAATATGTCTTTGTTTAATAACAGTAGCATTTTCTTATTCCAGTTCCATCCACTTTCTGTTGATACTGGTGTCTAGTACGTTGCGATTCTCAACAAATACTCCCAAGTCCAAAATTAGTTAGAGAAATGGCTTTGTTTTGTGCATGGTAGTTGGTGGCTTGGTTGATGTTTTCGGGAGAAAAACACGTAAGTGGATGTTCACACAATAATCTGAACTACTAAAGACTCCGTGAGTGTAACACCTTGGTCTGCATCACACCTGAGACTCCATGAATTTTGGGAAAATAGATATTAATAATAACTACCATTTATTTAACATTTATCTTTATAAGACTTGTTCATTTATCTAATTTGGTGTGATAGAATAGCCATGATATGGAAACTGATTCTTCAAAAATTTAGCAGGAATCTTAAAAATTTATAAGACTTGTTCATTTATCTTATTTGGTTTGATAGAATAGCCATGATATGGAAACTGATTCTGCAAAAATTTAGCAGGAATCTTAAAAATAAGGTACTATTTTCAATGACAACTGATTTTTAAAGAGGCATCTATTTAGTTTCCCTCGAGCAGATTCTCTAGGCCTCAGTTTCTTCTCTGGCAAATATAATAGGGCATCTAAATGATCTCTATTATATATCTGTACTGTATATCACCAAAGGATGCCTACGGAGCACCAGTGATGTGCAGGTGTTATAATTTTATTTAGTTGAAGAAATTTGGTGTGTTGATTTCAGCCTTCATTTTCTAAAGGATTACTGGGTGAAAGTTGTCAGTGAAAAAAGTTGACACATCCAGAAGCCAATTTGTTAAATATGTAATTATGTAGCTCCCTTTTAATCTGTGGTAGGAGGTGGCCAGTATGATTGGGTGGATTTTGTGGAATATGGCTGAGGCTGAGTGTCAGGCTGTGGCCATGTGGTGTGGTGAGGCAGCACACTAGAAAGCCTCTCCTCAAAACAAAGGCAGCCCAGAGAGCATTATCCACGTCCTACACCTTGGAGATTTGGTGAAATCTTTAAGAAGGCTTTGGACTACTACAAGTCATAGGATAGGAGTTTGAAGACAATTTCACCCCCATTTCAGGGTCAGAAAGACCACTTGTTTCCTCCTCTCCATTATGTCTGGGTTACATGCTTAAAAAAACAAACAAATTAAAGGCTGCAACATAGTGTACTGAAGAAATCGACAGGAATAAGGAGACCCGGGTGCTAGTCCCGGCTTTGCTGTGAACTTGTTTCAGGACCTTGGGACACCACTTATATCCTCAGCACCTCACTTGTCTTGCTGTACCTATAACAGGCACATTGCACTGAGAGTTGGTGATCTCTAAGCTCTCCTTCAGGTCTAACATTCTAGGATTACTGCTGTCAAAAGCTGCTGGGTTCCTTTAAGATGCCTCAGAAAGAGGACAGCCCTGTACACTACTGGGGCCCTGGAAAGTCACAAAGACTTTCTAGGCATTTGTCTGAAAGGCTTCATTCCTAATCATATGTTGTTTTTTTTAAAAAATGTTATTTTGACATAAAATTGTACTTAAGTTGCACAATATGATTTTTGATGTATGTGTAGATTGTGAAATGGTTACCACAATCAAACTTAACATAGCCATCACCTCCCATAGTTACCTTTTTGTGTGTGTAGTGAGAACACTTGAGATCTACTCTCTCAGCAAATTTTAAGTATGTGTTATTAACTATACTTACCCTGTACATTAGGTCTCCAGCACGTATTCATCTTCTAACTCAAAGTTTGGACCCTTTGCTGATCTTGTGTTCTTGACTGCACCATTGTGCTTCTAGCTCCACACCCAGAAGATTGCCATAAACTTAAATGTGTTCCTCTAAGCTGTCCATTTGCTCCATTACCATTTTTTGAAAAGGCCATATTTCCTCCATTGAATTGCTTCTACACCTTTGTTGAAGATCGGTTGAGGGGCCAGCCCAGTGAGTAGTGGTTAAGTTCGTGCACTCTGCTTCTGTGTCCCAGGGTTCGTGAGTTCCGATCCCAGGCACGGACCTACACACCGCTCATCAAGCCATGCTATGGTGGCCTCCCACATACAAAGTAGAGGAAGATTGGCACAGATGTTAGCTCAGGGACAATCTTCCTCACCAAAAAATAAATAAAAATAAAAAATCGGTTGAGCATATTTTGTGTGGGTCTTTTTCCGAGTTTTCTGTTGATCTATATGTCTCTACCACTGCCAGTACCACACAGTCTTGATTACTGTAGCTATATAGGAAAGTCTTAAAATTGAGTAGACTGATTCCTTGTACTGTATTCTTTTTCGAAATTGGTTTAGCTGTTCTAGTTCTTTTTCCTTAACATATAACTTTTAGAATAATCTTGTGTACATCTAAAAGAAGTATTGCTGGGATTTTGAAAGGAATTGCATGAAACCTCTACATCAGTTTGGGGAGAACTAACATCTTCACTGTGTTGAATCTCAAAAAAGACTACAATATGTCTCTCCATTTATTTAAATCTTTGAATTTTTTCGTCAGTGTTTTGTAGTTTTCAGCATATACACTCTGTACATACTTTGTTAGCTTTACTCCTAAGTATATTTCATTTATTTTTGTGCAACTGTAAATAATGTTTTTATTTTGTGTCTACATGTTCCTTGCTGGTATATGGAAATAAATTGATCTTTGTATGTTTATCTTGTATCCTGTGACTTTTCTGAATCATCATTCCAGTATTTTTTGTAGATTGGTTTTCTACATAGACAATCATGTCATCTTTAATTAGGGACAATTTTATTGCTTCCTTTTCTGTTTGCCTTTTATTTCTTTTTCTTATTGTACTGGCTAGAATTTCTAGCACTATGTTGAATAAAAGAGGTGAGAGTGGGCATCTTTGCCTTGATCCCAATCTTGAGGGACAAGCATTTGCTTTTGCTATTAAGTATAATATTAGCTGTTTGTCTTTTTAGATACTCTGTACCAAGTTAAGGAACTTTGCTTCTTGTTTTCTGAGAGTTTTTATCATAAGTTTGTTGAATTTTGTCAAAAAAAATTTTTTTTTTCCTGTGATTGATATGATCATGTGACTTTTCTTCTTTAGCCTATTCATTTGGTGGATTACATTGGTTTTTCAATATGGAACCAGCCTTGCATCCCTGGAATAAACATCACTTGATCAAGATGTGTAGTTCTTTTTATATATTGTTGAATTCTATTTGCTAATATTTTGTTATGGATTTTTGCATTTATATTTGTGAGGGATATTGATCGGTAATTTTATTTTTTTGTACTATCTTTGGATTTTGTATTAGGGCAATGCTAAAAATAGAGAATTTTTTCTTTTCTATTTTCTGAATGAGATTGTGTAGAATTGATACTTTTTTT